GTGGAAGGCGGGGCGGAGGGCGAGGGGGAGGGGGAGGAGGAGGAGGGGGGGGAAGAGGAGGGCCGCCTTAGCCGATGGGGAGGGAGCTTGGCCACCGAGGTGCTGGCATGACGTTGCCTGCTCTGAGGAGCGCAGGACTGATGGTGGTTAAAGGTGAATCCGCTGCCGCCGTGGCAGCAGTCGTCCATCCCGGGGTCGGTGGGTGTGCTTCAAGTGATGGAGGCGAGTACGCGCAGGAGGGAGATGCCCCTCAGGGTCCACGGTGTAGCCAATGGACCTGGAAGTGGAGGGGAGGGAGGGGGGGAGGGAGGCTGAGAGGGGCGGTGGCATTTGCAAGGTTGGCATTTAGTAGGCACGGGATAGTTCCGGTGGTGCCACCCTCGATAGCTGTGGACAAAGTCAGATCCATCTCCGACGCACGTGAGCACACGTATGTATGTCTCACGGACGCTTACGTCGTATCTTTCACGCGTGGAGATCAGGGGCCGTAGTCGATGGCTGCCCATTGCCAGTCGTGTTGAGTGAGGGGGGGGAGTGAGGTAACTCGCACGACGCATCTCTTCGCACAAATTGCGCGCGTCACAGACAAATAAAATTCAAGGAATGCTGGCCGATCACCGATTTCCTACACGCACGTGGAGAGTTTTGTGGTCTGGGGAATAAGCGAGGTGACAACGTAGCCAAAAGATGTATAAGCCAAATTAAAGCGTTGCCGTGCCGGGCACGTGTCACAGGGCACGAGAAGGCCATTAAAAAAACCGTAGCGCGGGTCTGACGCTGTGCTGCACAAAGTGAGGATAGGCAGCAGTTGGTTGAAGCCGACCTCGTTCCACGCACCGAGGGCTAAGACGACGGCACAGTCGGTGTCAGACCCGCGTCCGGGGCCCCAAAAGATATTTCCGTGGACAGACATGACATAAAGCACGGCCACAATAACGAGCAGAGCCTGGCCTTGAGAACCACACGATATTCAGGCGCCCGCCTAGACAGACAGGGCCCCCCGAATCCACAAGCATTCAGCCGTCCGATCATCCTGCCTGAGAGCATATGTCTCAAAAGACGGCGAGCGGCGTACCTGGTCATGGGCAAGGCTCGACTGTGCGTGTTTGGTTTTTTTGGATAAGCCGTCGCT